GCACATTTGGAGAGAAAGACCCAATAAAGGTGGGTCTTCACAGGTAGAGTAGCTTTCCAGGTCCTCCCTGGATGTCCTTAGGGCTGAAGAATCCCAGGCTGGAGAGGAGGGTAATCAGAGAAATTTTCTTTAATTGGGACAGAGAATGAAGGAGGAGAATTTTACTTTAATTTGAACTATTCAGGATGCTTCTTCACTACCCTAAAATTTCTTGCAATTTGGTCTACTTTAATTTGATTTGACAGTTTCAAAAATTGAGTGATCTACTACATTGCACATTCTGTAATAAAGAGTGAAATTCTGTCATTTCCAGAAACATGGATGGAACGTCCAGTCCCATACTTTTAACCACTATGCAAAGCACCGCTCCTCTTCTCTGCCAAGATAGTGAAGAAATTAATGGCCCTCAGTCCTTCTGTATATGTAAAAAATGAAACAGTAATAACTAGAGGTCATTGTGCTGAGTGAAAGAATCCAAGCAGAGAAAAACATAATTATAGAATCGCATTCTCACTCATGTGGGAGCTTAAACTCTCACAGAGGTAGAAAGCGGAATGTTGGTTACCAGAGGCTGGGAAGGGGAGGGGAAATGAAACAAGGTTGGTTAATGGGTACAAACATACAGCTCGATAGAAGGAATAAGTTCTATTATTTGATAGCACAGTGGGGTGACCATAGTTAACAACAGTAAAGTATATACTTCAAAATATCCAGAAGATAAGATCTGAAATGTTCCCAGCACAAAGAAATGATGGATATCCTAAATACTGTGATTGGTTCATTATGAAACCACATCATGTATATTCCACAAATATGTACCATTATTATGAGTCAACAAAAACTTTTTTAATTTAATAATCATTTTAAAATAGTAATATATGGCAATGTCCTAGGTTCCTGGGCGGTCATTTCATTATTCACCCTGTGGTTTGCATCTGAAACTCTTCAACCGGAAACTAGTCACATCATAGAGTGGGAGATCAGATACGAGATCTCATAACATCAAATACTCTCAGGCTTACTGAAGTCCCAGGAGCAATTTCTGCTTTTGTCTGCATGTGTTAATTGATTTGCTCTCTGAATTATTTATTTTTATTGCTAAGAAATAAACAGGAATAAAAATAAGCTGTGAACAACTCCGATGAAAATCAAATGAGGTACAGTGAGCCTCTATCATTCTACCATTAAATGAGATGAAACAGACACAAATAACAAGAAAAGCATTATTTTTAATCCAACTCAGGAACAGTTCTTTAGCTTCCTATATATGAAATCTTGAAATTAGTATCATGGTTCCTTTCCTCATTTGGCCAGGTGGCACATAGTCTAAATAGAAAAGATCATGGAATGTCAAGGAATGAATAGATTTGGTTTTAGGGTTAAAAAATGTAGATATTCAAGTCTCCCCAAATTCTTCCCATGCAGTCCACTAGAATAGTATATTTTTCTTTAAGTAGAAAGTATTGGACAAAGATCCATTGCCTTTTTACTTGCATTTACCAAGTTCTCATGACGTGATAGACACGAAGCTAATTGTGTGATGTGCATTATTTCATTTAATTCTAGCAATAGCGAGATGAAGTGGGCATGATTATTATTTCCATGTTACAGATGAGGATTCTAAAGCACAGAAAGATTAAGTTACTTTCCAAAGACTCTAAGTGGTGCTACTAGGTCTCAGATTCACAATGGCGTAACGTCCAGTTCCATACTTTTAACCACTATGCAATGCACCGCTCCTCTTCTCTGCCAAGATAGTGACATATGTAAAAAACGAAACAATAATAACGAGAGATTTTAAACAATTCTATTTATTGTATGAGTTTTCACAAGTAGGTCTTGAGGTAGGCCTTCTTTTAGGATAGACCAGTCCAGTATATGTACCAGATGTTTCAGGAAAATGATTTTATCTATATCATATTTCCATTTCTCCATGTTATAATAAGGCTAATAGTTCCTACCCCTTTCCTACTTCACACAAACATATGAATTTTTTTTTTTTTGAGACGGAGCCTCAAGCTATCCCCCTGGGTAGAGTGCCATGGCATCATGCTCACAGCAACCTCCGACTCCTGGGTTCAAGCAAGTCTCCTGCCTCAGCCTCCCAAGTAGCTGGGACTACAGGCGCCCGCTACAACGCCTGGCCATTTTTTGGTTGCAGCCATCATTGTTGTTTGGCGGGCCCGGGCTGGGGATTTGAACCCGCCACCTTAGGTGTATGTGGCTGGCGCCTTAGCCGCTTGAGCCACAGGCGCTGAGCCCAAACATATGAATTTTAATGATAGAATGTCATCACATGTACTCTGAGTTTCTTGGAAAAGGGATGCTATGTAAACACAAAGTAGAAGTTTTATAAAAACAGTGTCAGTGTGGTATGTATCCAACATAAAATAGACAAAATTATTTCCTTACTGATTAGGACAAAAATAGCCCGTTAATCTTGCCTCTCTATTTTTTCATCATTTTTCACATTGCCTGTGTCTGCTGGGCCTTTCCAGAGCAACCTGAAAGGGAAATGGTGTTTGATAGAATATTGATTTGATTAGCAGTTTAGCATCCTCCTTTTTGAGGAAAATACTGCAACATCAAAGAGTTTGCCTGTTTCCAGCTTTTGGGAAAATCTCAGGTCAAAATTCTGTTGCCTGGCGGGGCACAGTGACTCATACCTGTAATCCTAGCATTCTAGTAGGCTGAGGGAGACGATGGCTGAGCTTAGGAGTTTGAGACCAACTTGAGCAAGAGCAAGACCCTGTCTGTATTAAAAATAGAAAAAAAATGTACCTGAGCATGGTGGCAGGTACCTGTAGCCCCAGCTACTCAGGAGGCTGAGGCAGGAGGATCACTCCAGCCCAGGAGTCTGAGTTGCTGTGAGCTGTGGTGATGCCAGTGCTCTCCAGCTGGGATGAAAAAGTGAAACTCTGTCTCAAAAAAAAAAAAAAAAAAATTCTGTTGCCAGATGGCAGTATTATGTGAAGGAAAGTTCGCTGTGAATGTCGCTATACCAAAGGCCATCCTGACTGTCTTTTATAAGGGATCTAACAGAATTTTATTGTGATTCAGAAATAGTAAGGTCACGCTAGGAAAAACCTTTTTTCCCCCAGAATTACCAAACATCACTTCTGCTGCTCAAATTGAAGTCGGCCAGTACCTCACAATAGAAAATGGAAGAAACTAGTGTGAGACCCAAGATAATTTTAAAAGGCATGGAGAGTGAAAAACCACCATTCTTATCTAGTGGCTCTGGACAGCATCGCTTATAAACAGAACCCTCTTGTGCACAGATAACAATGCCTTACACGGTTAATTTTACATGCACATTCACATCTGTCCTTTAGACAAAAAGCAAGAAGAAAGGGACATTTGCCATTGCAGAAAGGATTAGAGGATTTGTTAGTCTGTTAGTCTCCTTTTAAGACTTCCCCATTCCACACATGAAGTCTCAGGAGAAGAAAACAGAGAGTAACCAGCAATGCATTTCACAGGCTCATCAGCTCCCACCCCACAGCTCACTTTAGCTGGATGGCGACTATGAGTGCATCTTCTGATTTGCTGACCTGTAATTTTGTTTCTAGAGTGGCTCAAAGCAGAAGGATTTTTACCTTCTCTCAATCACTTGTTTTACAATTGTGAGCTGGCTGAAAAAGGAATGTCTGTTACTATTTACCCCTCAAGTGTTTGAACATGTGGGAGGGCTCCCCGCCATGTTTTGGGGGGGTGGGGCGCAAAGCTGCCAAAGGCTGCCTGTGACATTTCCACTGCTATCTATGTGTGCGGGGTTGTGATTCTATGGGGAGAGCAGTGACCCTGAAGACAGGATCCTGGGCCCTTTTTCTGGGTCTGACCCTGCTTCAAACCTGCCATGTAACTGCTCAGAGGCTAAACGTCTTCGTTTATGGAAATGAAATATGCTAGATGAGCTTTTTTTTTTTTCTTTTGCTTCACTGTGTTTTGCTGCAGATAGTTAAAATAATGTTTAACTGTTTTGAAAAGTAAAAACATTGTACAAAACGTGAGATGTTGTTGGATATGTCACTCAGAGTGGTATAAGAGAAAAGTACTGGGAATCAACAGATCAGAATAAAGCCTGATTGTCTCAGAAAATCTGACGGTAATTTAGGTGCCGGTCATCTCCCCAGGATCTCATTGCTTTCTCTTTTCTCCAGATAATGAAGACAACTTTTTAACAGCAAAGCCAATTCCATATGTTAATTGATGGCCCTATTTCTTCTTTTTAATGGTAAAAATACAAGAGCATTTGGGGGGTGATAGAGCAAGTCGGGAGGTGGACTCCCCCTTGGCACCCCCCCCCTTGTATGTGCGGGTCATTGCACCTAGGACCCACGACAGTGCTGTGGGTTGAGGATGGAGGAGTGGAGAGTGTTCCTGGGCACGACAGGGTAAGATGTGTTTGAGTGATGTGAAGCCACGTGAGAGGCGCGGGTCATGTACCGTGCATCTCAGGGGTGTGAAAGCCAGTGTCTGTCTGCAATGGCCTTCGTGGTATGTCATCACGTGATCTAACTGCATGGGCACGACCCTGCAAGTCCACGTGAGGGTGGTGGGAGAAAGAAGGCCAGGATTTGAATCAGTCTTAACATCTCAGGAGAAGTTTGTTGTTTTTCTCCCCTTCCCGAGGGACATGGGGAATGGCCCCTGGGGGTGGGTTCTTGGAAAGAATCTGAGGGCGGTTAGTTAACGCGTCTCTTCCTTATCTTTCTCAAACTCTCGGGGTTTGGGCGGTGGAAAGGGGGCTCTGAGGGTCTGAGTCCCGGGTGGAAGGAAGCGGCGTCAGTCAACTTCCTCGGCTGCGGCGGCGCGGGCGGCCGCGGTGTGCGCGCGGGTCTGCGCATCCCGCCCCCGGGCCGGGAAGGGGCGGAGCCGGGCGTCCCCGGCCACCGGCGGTGTCCTCCCCCCGGCCGCTCCCCCGCGCAGAGCTCGCCGCGATCGCAGCGCCCGCGGGAAGCTCCTCGCCGGGAACCGGAGCCGCCAGTGCGGGCCGGGCCGGGCTGGGCTGCGCGCAAGAGCTCGACCGCCGCCCCTACCGGTGAGTCCGCGGCGGGAGGCGCGGAGTGGGTCGACCTGGGGTTCAGGACCGCGATGGTGGGGAACCCCGGGGCCCGAGCTTGGGAGGCGGGGATGGCAGTATCGCGACGGCGGGGAGCCCCAGTATCCCAGCCCGGAGAAGAAGTCTGGAAGCGCAGTGTTGGGAAACACGAGCCCTATCGGGGTTAGGGCCCTGATATTGGGGAGCAGCAGAACCCGCGCCCGGAAGGAGGACGGTGGGTTAGGACCGTGATGTTAGGGAGCCTTGCAGCCCTGAAGGGCTGGGGGCGGGGATGTTGGAGATCTCCAGCGTCCCAGCCTAGAGAGCTGAGCGGAGGGTGTTATGACCGCGATATCTGGGGGCCGAGCCCCGAGGGCAGGAGGCCAGGATCGCGACTTGAGGGCGTCCGGTCCACATTCTTGGGTCGCCCTCCGTAGGACAGAGGGGAACGGAACCCAGGAGCAGAAAGCAAAGGGCAGGAAGCCGGGGGTGAAAGGGGGAGCCCGAAAGAGGAGCCCGGGATTAGGGTGGGGCGAGGCGTGTGGCTTCTCCAGGAAGGACTGAGGGGCCTTCTCTGAGACTGGGGGCGGGTGCGGAGACGGCGATGTAGTGGAGAACCGTGGATGGGTGGGGAAAGCGGGTTAAAAGACAGGGGAGAAGGAGCTGTTGGAGGAGATGGGAACTCGGAGACAGAGGAGGGGCTTCCAAGACGCCAGGTGGGGCAGGGACAGGGGGACCAAGTCAGCCAGGTGGACGCAGTGCCCTCAATGGATTAGGGGCGTGGACGCCTGGGAAAGAGCAAGACCAGGCAACTCCTGTCGGGGGCAGATGAGGACTCCGCGCTTGGTACGCCCAGGGACTCTTGGGAACCTGAGGTGCACCTCGCAGACACCTCGCAGACACCTCTTACGGGGATCTGGAAGCAGCCAGGGCAGCTCCCCACGCACCTGCGGGCGCTACAGGCACCAAGGGACTCCTTGATTCTGTACTCGGTGAGTACAGAATGAGAGGCTATTTCTGAGTCAAAAGCGAGGAAAATCGGCAAAACAGATACACACAAAACGCCCACCAATACGCTGCATTGCACAGTGGAGTAAACATAAAGAGTATTGTACAATTTGGGATTGTGTCAATGAGGGAGGGATCCGTTTATTGAAGTTAAGAGGAGGTCTGTGCGTGAAAGGTGGACTCCCCTTGACTGCCCTGTTGAGATTATGCACAGTCTGTCCCCACCCTTGAACTGCTGCACTCTTGGTCAGGTCAGCTGGCAGGGAGCCAGACTACATAGGATCTCAGTGGATGGGTATCCAAGTGTGTATCTAAAAACAAATAAATGACCAAGGCATGGCTGTTCCCTCCTCGTTGTTTGTCCTGGGTGCATGACTCCCGTCAATTAGTTAAATACTGTTGACTATTTTACATTAATTTATCCAGGATTGTTAATTATGTGTGGTAATTAGTTTAATTATTTGGTGTAACAGCTAACAGAGGAAGACCCAAGGCCTGGGAATCCTAGTAAGTGGATTTCTCCATTGGAAGATAACTGGGGTTTGGGGAGTGGGAGAAAATGCCCTCTCCCCTCTTTCCATCAGGTTGCCCACTTAGGTCCATCTTCTGACACACTGAGATTTAAGCTTCCTAGGAAAACAAGGACTATTTTGGTACCTAGCATTTGTTGAATCATTTTTTTTTTCCCTTCATGAGAAGAAAATCTCTTCAATAATTATGCAAGATTAATGGACAAGCAGTTTATGCATTTCCCAAGTATCATTTCCGGACAAGCTTTTATTCATTGAGGGGGGGTGTATACTTTACTGAGTGGTGAGAACCTTGCACCAAAATCTGCATTATCATTATTACAGCATATTTCTTCACTTGGACATAAAGCTAGCTGATGCTTCCAATTCTTTATCCAAATGCTAAAATAAATATGCCAGTATTGATAGATTCAAATGAGTGTTTCTCTCCTTCAGAAGGCTTCTCCTGGCAAGCCGTGTACTGATTCTAGTGGTTGCTGAGAATAATTTTGGAGTGCCTGCTTTGGAGTTGCCTTCAAAGTTTGCAACACATTTACTGAATTGCCTCGGTGATGGCAAAACTTCCTCAGCTGGGAAAGAATCAAATACCTAGGGGCCAACTTGGGTTTCTCAGGTGGGGAATGGAGGTGGTGATGTGAAGTATGTCCATGAAAGGCGTGAAAATTCTCTTGGAAGGACTGGCAGTTCTAAGAGGGTATCCAGAAAAGGTAAAAGAGAGATAAGTGGATCTCTCAACAGTGTTCTTCTCTTTTTCTTTTTCTTTTTCTTTTCTTTTCCTTTCCTTCCCTTCTTTTCTTTTTTCTTCCTCACTTTGTTGCAGAGGTTAGAGTGCCATGGCATCAGCCTCGCTCACTGCAATTTCAGACTCCTGGGTTTAACCGATCCTCCTGCCTCAGCCTCCCGAGTAGCTGGAACTATGGGCACCCACCATACCACATGGCTCATTTTTCTATTTTTTGTAAGGACAGGCTTTGACTCTTGTTCAGGCTCGTTTTGAACTCCTGAGCTCCAGGGATTTTTTTTTGTTTTGGCCTCCTACTAGAGTCCTGGGATTACAAGTGTGAGCCATGGCCCCTGGCCTCTCAACTGGGTTCTTAATTTTGAGGTGGATTCATTCTTTGGGGATTAGATCCCAGTATCCATTCAGAGGCTATAAAAGGAGACAAGTGCTATAAAAGTGCTTAGTGAGTCATTTAGTGTATGTGTTTAGGATTGGAACGTAATTGCAGTTGGTCCTTGAACAACTCATGGGCTAGGGGAAAATTCAAGTATAATTTTTATTTTACTTTTTCATTGTCTATTTGTTTTTTCTTCAAGAAAGTTTATTTCAGTATATTATGGAGTTACATATGTTTTAGCTACAGTTTGCTTTTATACATTTTAAGTAAGAGTTACAGGTGTGCTATTCATCCAGGAAGTGTGCAGTATACCCATGCATTGTACCTGGTGGGTGGGGATTTACCCTCCCCCTTCTTCCCTTCACCCCTACTTGAACTTTGCTGAGTTTTGCTTCCCTATGAGCACATAGGCGTTGATCATCTAGTTCTGACTTGGTATTAAATATGTGTGGTGTTTGTTTTTCCATTCTTGTGATATTTCACTTAGGAGAATGGTCTTCAGTTCCATTCAGGTTGTTACAGAAGATATTAGGTCACCAATTTTATGGCTGAATAGTGTTCCATGCTATACATACACCACATTTTATTAATCCATTCATGTATTGATGGGCACTTGGGTTGTTTCCATGTCTTTGAGATTGTGCCTTGTTCTTGGCCAGGGCTGGGTTTGAACCCACCACCTCCGGCATATGGGACTGGCGCCCTACCCTTTTGAGCCACAGGCACCGCCCTCTTTGAGATTGTGAATTGTGCTGCTGTGAACATTCACTTGCTGTGAGCAAGTGTCTTTATTACAAAATGTATAATTGACTTTATTTTATTAAGATGCAGGGTCTTGTTCTGTCACCTAGGTTAAAGTGCAGTGGCATGATCATAGCTCACTGCAGCCTCCAAGTCCTGGCTTCCAGTGATCCACTTGCTTCAGCCTCCTGAGTAGCTAGGACAACAGGTGCACATCACTATGCCTGACTAATTTTTTTTTTTTTTTGAGACAGAGCCTGACTATGTCACCCTTGGTAGAGTGCCATGGTGTCACAGCTCACAGCAACCTCCAACTCTTGGACTTAAGTGATTCTCTTGCCTCAGCCTCCCAAGTAGCTGGGATGACAGGCGCTTACCACAATGCCTGGCTATTTTTTTGTTGCAGTTGTTTAGCTGGCCTGGGCCAGGTTCAAACCTGCCACCCTCCATGTATGTGGCTGGCGCCATAACCACCAAGCCTGCCTAATTTTTTAAAATATTTTTATAGAGCCCGACAACTGTGTTGTCCAGGCTGGTCTCAAACTTCTTGCCTCAAGTGATCCTTCCACCTCATCCTCCTAAAAGTCCTGGGATTACAGACATAAGCTACCATGCCAGGCCTCAAGTGTAACTTTTGACTCCCCAAAAGTGGTATTAACTACTGTACTTTGAAGTACAGAGTACATTTTGGTGTTTATGTTCTGGTATGTGTATCAAATAATTGGTCCTATTACTTTATTATTATAGCTTATAGCAGGCGTCGGCAAACTATGGCCCACAGGCCACATGTGACCCACCTAGGACATTTATCCGGCTTGCTGGGTGTTTTTGCCACCACTGCCTGTCCTGCTTAGCAGCCGACTCATCCCGGGGCCCGCAGTCCAGCCCTCCAATGGTCTGAGGGACAGTGAATTGGCCCCCTGTTTAAAAAGTTTGAGGACCCCTGCTCAATACAGTCTAGCTACTTTGGTTAAGATTATTTATTGATAGTTTCATATTAAAATTCCTTTGAAGCTTTGTGGAAATCTATCATATCTCAGGTAATGATATTCTCTTCAGCTGGGCTTTTTGCAAACTGTGTCAATGAGAACATTTCGTTTTTTGCTGTCCTGGCTTCTGAGGAGTTTTTAAAGGGTGACCTTACAAGCAACCATGATGAGCTATTTTCTTTTGAATTTGTATTTTTTGAAAAATGAACATTCTTGTTACAGTTGTACGTTAGGTATAGGAGATTGGTGTGCTAGTGAAAATCGGAAGGAAAAAAGAGTTTAAAAGCCTCTCCTGTAACTTTGTTTCCTGGATCCAATAAAAATATTATTCTAATGAAATAGCTACAGTTCTCTTGGCATGTATTGAAAGGGATGATTCTGGTAAACAGTCCTTTTCAGCTCAAACATGAGTTTTGCTCTGTTTAGTTTTTTAACTTATAGGGAAGATTAGCCTGGTACTAAGTTCTTAGGTCTACTATAAATATCGACATTAATTTTCTTCAAATTTATAAATTTGGGCCAGGTGCAGTAGCTCACGCCTGTTATCCTAGCACTTTAAGAGGCTCAGGCTGGAGGATTGCTTGAGGCCAGGAGTTCGAGACCAGCCTGGGCAA